CTCTCCTTAGGTCCTCTTGGCGTACTAGGGATATATTGCAATTCTCAGGTAGTTGAGGCCAGGGAAATCGCCAGATGCCCCGTTTTTAAAAAAAACTATCTCAACCTCAACGGAAAACAACTGGTCAGGATTCAGGCACAATTAGACAAGCTCACTATATACCCAAGATCATAGTCGCCATAGACCCAGGGACAGCCGGAGCCCGTGATAAAGTTGCTATAATACCACATCTGAGGATATCGAGGCAGGCTCCTATCATAGCAACCCTAACATTGTGAATAATATCGGGAAGCCCCGACTGCTGGTCGACGCTTTGGGCAATGGGATACTGGGATTGGCCACAACGCTTGATCCATCTCACCACCTAGTGCACTTGTTTGCTCGAATATCTCACCACTCACCCAAGGCTAATGTGTGGCGATCTTATTCCAGAGTGCGAAGAGATGAGTATTGGAATTGGTTTTCATTCCTCGTCACCCGCTAATGTAGCGAGCTAATATTCAAGCAGGAGATCCGATTGGGACTTTATCTTTGAAGAATTGGCCGAAACAGTTAGTTGGGATGGGCGGGTGACACTTGGTGAGCGACTAAGTCCGTGAAAAAAGACCCCGCTCGAGCACACTCACTGCCCCGCGCATTTACCTAGACTACAGCACATTACCGCAACGGGAAATTACTAGTTACGCGGAAAAAAACTTGTCGGGCTCGCTTTTTTTTTCGGATGCTTCAGTTGGTATGAATCAGAACTTAGAACAATAATGCTGGCATGATTTCGCCTAACCAAAAGGGTGGTTTCGGGCCCACTGCATCTCCAAAACACCACTTATCCCGCTATCGGTCGCTGTCAGTCTCATGTCTTCTGAGCATCAAGTCTTGGTTTTTCTCCGGAGATTATCCCCTGTGTGTTTCGTGCCCTATAGATATCTCGTATACTGCGCCCAGAACCGCCCGGCAAGCCACGACTAAATAATATACACACGGTTCCCGGAAACAGACATCATTCACTCCTCAGCTGGAGGTGTGAGAGGGATTAGTCAGGCATTTGAGGTAGCGGTGGAATAACACCATCTCCCCCCCCCCCAAGCGAATGTACAGTACCGTACTGTGTTTTTGTTAGGAGGGTCGCGGGTTAATCACCAAACTCAGATTTTGAGATCACCGAGAGCCTTAATGAATAGTCATCGTCAAGAAGGAACCACCCGTGAGTACAACCTCTCGATAATAGTATTTTAGAGAAGGCATAGATTCCGAATAAAGCAAGATACCGGTATTATACCATCGCGAATAGCAACAAGAAGTAATGTTGGGATCTCGGCACTGAATTAGCCTGTCTTGCCACACCTCCGCTAAACCGCCCCAAAACACGCAACCCACGGGTGCCAAACACACCTTCCCGAACCCAAGGAGGGATCCTGTGGAAAGAAGATATTTATTTTATTTTATTAAAACTTTTGCGCTCACTATCCCCGCGGGCACCTAACCTCTCACTCAGAAGACCTATCTTCGATAATATACCGAAATATGGACTTATTACCTCTCCCACCTCTCGACAAATGCTTTCTTCTCCCCTCGTCCACTTAAATCACCACCGCCCTTCTTCAACTCCTCCAAGCCCCAAGCAATCCCTTCCATCCTCTCAGCCACAGCGCCAACTTTACTCTCAACCCCCTCCAAGCCCTTGACTAACTCCTCGCTAATTAATCCAGCACCCGGAAAGTCATTACCAGACCTCAATGCTGCCTCCAGCAGGTGGCTTACATTCCACATTTCTGTAAGCTCTGACTCTCCGGTTGCAAGTTCCTTCTCCTGTGCCTTGAGCTTGGAATTTTGTTGAACGATATGTTCTCTGATCTGCGATTCCTTGATCACTGGGACAGGAGGCGTTGGTGGTGCAGATTTAATCGGGGATATGAAAAGAGGGGTGATGGCTGGTGGAACAGAAATGCCCAATAGTGCCAGCATACGCAGTTCAGGGTATTCGTCCTCGTCAGGTGGAAAATCCGTGCTTCTACCACGCCTGTGCCGTGGAGGAGTGAAACCCGGCACCGCACGGAAGGGAAGCTTTTTGCCCGGGCTTGAGCCAGGGCTCCTGGGAGCTGGCGGGGGCGTACTTGGAGCGGTAACCTTGGGAGGCTTTGTAAGTGGGGAGACAGATTCCTCTGCAATTGTTGCTAAGACCGTAGAAATTGCTTTTTGCTTGGAAAGCTCTATTTTCAAACTCTGGGCGGTCGCCCTATGGCGTTTTTGGAGATGGTGGAGGACATCACAAATCTGCAATTATATCAGCAACATCCTACAGAGCTTCAACGGAGAGAGAACTAACATATTTTCCACCTAATCGTAGACCCTCGCTCGCTTTCATCCGGCCTTTGTGTACCTCATCCAGTACCGGCTGAAGGAATTCCTGTTCGGCGGCCATTTCTGCTACTGACGGGATTTCGGCGTATAGGCTTTCAAGGTCCTTTTGGAGCTCTTCTACTTCAGGGTCACTATTCTCCGAATTATGCGAGCCGGCTACTTCCAAGAAAATTCGGTCAAGCCGAGTTTTCAGGGCTGTGGCCGAAAGGATCGATAGCCTGTGAGATGCATTAGTACTCTCCTCAAGAGGTAAATCCAGGAGGGCTCTTGCTTTTTTACAAGTGCAGTTACTCTCTCAACAACCTCCTTCCCGTCATCACCATCGCCACCAACAATCACGCCGCCTGCGAGTCTTTCCAACCGTGCAAGTACCCTGTCATCACTCTCCAACATCTTATTTACACCTTCAACATCGACGGCAGACTCCTTCATATATTGTTTCAGGTCGGTTATCTCCTCTTTTAGGATACTTAACAAATCATCAATCTATCAATGTTAGAGTAAATTTCGCCATGCGTGCACCCAACTGAGTAGCAACTTACAGCCGCCTGATGATCCTCCTTCTGAGATAGCCACTTCCTTCTCCTCCGCTCATCTAACTTTCGCTTACGTTCCTTATCTGCTTTCGTCTTATCTTTCATAGATTTCAAGGCTGCCTTCTGTCTTCTCAGTTGGGCCGTATGCTGCCTCAGTAGCTCGGCACTCTTTCGTAGCCCTTCAATCTCGATCTCCAAGTCCTCCTCTGACCGCGGTCTGATAAATCCGAGCCCAGGGTGTGCTTTCTGCAGCTTTGATAACGCGCCCGTCTTCTTGAGATGATTATATCTATAAATAAATGTTAATCACTGAATGGCGCCCCACGCTAACAACTGGAGGACCTACATCTCAAGCTCCTCTATGGAGACCAACGTCTCCTCCGTAATGTATCGTTCAACCCATTGTGTCACCGGGGCAGCAGTTTTGGCATTACCGAATACCCAAAGGACATCGTCTTCCCCGAGTGGGATTTCGTGAGCTGACAACGCTCGCAGGAGCTTTTGCGAGGCTCCTGTTGGATCCATTGTAGGGAGCAAAGTGCTTTGAACGGTGTAAACACTTGTCGTAGAGTCAGGGCCATTGCCAAGACTTGGCGTGCAGGGGCTCAGTCTGAGGTTAGGGCTGTTGGCCTGTATCTTATCGCAGCGAAGACCCTCAGTTGTTGCAACCACGAACCCCGGCCCAACGACGTCAGGGGATCGAAAGTGAAGATATGATGAGTTCTACAGTTGAATGGCCTGGAAGGTGGGGTATTTCACTTGTAGGTGCCCCCCTCGTATCCACCCGTATTTTTCTGGAATTTATCATTCCATTTCACAAATCAAATGCTGTTCACCGTGGTTGCTGGGTATTCCATCCGATCTTCATGCAGACGTCTGATCGTCTCCTGGATATATGTTTGAACGGGGACCTCTCCCACACTACAGTACTTGCATGCTGGGGGATTGACTCCCTAATTGGGCTTTCGGTGAAAACAACGTTTCCAGCAAGTGTCACTCGCATACTCCCGCGATCCCCCGGTTCAGTGCGCTACCAGACTTGCTTTGGAGACAGGAGATCTCATAGATTACCGGCGCTTGATATTGTTAACATCCCAGCAGTGCTCTTTGAACCACGAAATTATGATCCAAGTCGCTGAGAATGGGAATTAGGTCAGATTTGCCCTGAGCCACATTAACGTTTTCTTCACCCCCAGTTTTTTCTTATGATATATCCCTCAGTGCCCCTATTGGTGGGGGTGAAATTGGCGGGGTCATTTCTGTACAGGTATTTTGTCGGTCACTAGTCTAGTTCTCTCAGTTCTGGCACAACCGCTTTTTTCTTCGGTTGGGGCCAAGTTATCTGATTGAAGATCAGCTTGTAACTATTGATTTCCTCCTGGCAACCATCTCCACGTCCTATGATACTTGATCCATGATGTGGGGCCATTCAGACCTGTACCAAGCCCGTTGCATCCTGTAATATAGCATCACAATCGCAGGAAGCCCTCGCAGTTTGCAGTATATTCGCACGAAGGTTCTTATGCTTCACTGCTAGAAGTCTACCTCTGGCGCTATCTTTTCGTAATCTAGGTTTCACTTCCACATTTCCCATTCACCTTCTCTCCACCTCGCTCATATTATTGTAATTCCCTTCACTCTATCAGGTGGTGATACGAACCTAGTTGCAGTCATTTGTATAACCTCAGGTATCCTCGGTGCCCTCATCGGGCCCTCGTACACAATAGTGGGGGTTTCTCTCCAAATTTTTAAGCAGGGTGATTACTAACTGCTCTAATGTGGTGCGGGGAATTCTTGTGGGTTGAGATGATGGTGGTGGGTGCTTAGGTTCATGAAGGTATGGAGAAGGACTTAGATTCATTCTTTAGATACCATACCATTATTTTCGCCTTCATCCCATCACCGCCGGTCGCACTCCGCATAGGTGAGGCAACTAGAACCACTCCTGCAGAGCGAGACAGCCTGTGAATTCGTTGAGACACCGCCCCGCCCATCGAATCAGCACAAGACTAACTATAAACCCCACCCCGACAAAAAAAAACAGTTACACCGGCAATGGCCACACCACAGGCTTGATATTTAACTAAAAGAATAACCTTTCCTAATGGTAAGATGGCTGAGTTGGTTATGGCGCTAGGCCAGGGTTATCTTAACATGCATCCTGGTTCGGGAAACTGAGCGTGAGTCCAAGTTCCACTCTTCTCACATATTTTTCTCTCCCCGACTGAGTATGAGTACATAGGTTGAGAGTACTGTGTTATGTGGGAACAATATCTTCCGAGTGTTCTTGTAGGGGTGTAATAATCCAATTACCATAGCTGGTATAATCGGCAAATCTCGAGCCACTTGGTCTGGTTTTTGGCTCAATCTCGTTTGCGCCAAGAGCACGGTGAGGTCTAGGTGAGGTCTAGTCTTTTAGATCCTAGCGAGGAAGTATTATCACATAAAAACCTATGATACATGGCACGCTTGTATTAACATGTCTCCCAGAATTTAAGGTCAGTGGACTGAAGATATCATAGCACTTTTATCCTTTGGGATGATAACATATGGACCCAACCTACTGAAGCCGCTTGATCAAATTATTCACTGCCACCGGTTCTAATATCAAACAATGTCTGTACCTTTTTAACCTCTCAAAGCCCAAGTTTCAATAGTCCTAGTGCAGTCTAGGCCCCTCTTCTCGTCATACTCAATCACTCGCCCTGAATGGCCCGGGATTCTACTAATCAACTTAACCTAAGCTTGGCTCTTTTTTTACCTCTTTCCAAAGTTTGTAGTTCCAGTCCGACATTTTGGGACTAACAGGGCTTATTTTCGCAGCCCAGTCACAGTTGAAGCATGGATTCATCTGAAGCGGGTTTGTCTTTTAATTTTGAGGAAGATATTGCTACTTGGGATCCCTCCAGCTAGGGAAGATAGGGAGAAGGTATAAAGTTATTTATTTATTCCTTGTCCTTTTTTGCTATAGGTTGAGATATCCCATCCCATTGTCCGTCAAGTGCCATCCGCAAGAGATTTGGTTATGAAATTATGAGAATCACGATGTCTGGGAACTATTCTTAGGGTTCGGCACGAGGATCCATGCAGGGAGTCGGGAGTTAATGGGGGGCTCCTCACCTCGTTGGCGAGTTGGACTCGTAGTCCTCGGGGACTGTAAATCGCTCTCGAGGATTGTTGCAAGGAGGCTGGTATATCAGTCATTTTTTAATTCTAAAGACAGGACAAAGCGGGACATAATTATTCGAGAAACTCTGCCCATTTCATGATACATTTTCGGAAATAAAATACTTCTTCCACATTCACCTCCTTGTACTCACCATCGTTTTGGTGAAAGAAACCTAGACTCAGCACTAGAAATACCACGAAACAGGAGTAATACCCGGCCTCAAACGCATGATTTAGGACTCACCGTGACGTACCGTATCTTATTCTCGAGTATGATATAGCTTATCTTATTGAGCGAAGCCCAATTAACCTAGGAGTCGGCTCTTATACGTTTACTAGGATTTGCAATGTTAGTATCAGGTAGGCAAAAAGGAAAGATAAAAACCACACCCGGTCAATTTGCCCTACCAATCATTTATTCGTTCCCCTGGAACAGCGCCCTTCCCCTGCGAGTGTGCTAGCCGAAATTCCATTCGAACGGGTGCACCTCTTACCAGAAAAAAGAGGGGAAATTACTTAACATCTATGGATAATTTTTCTTACCAAATGCCCAATTGACCACAGCAACTGTGGAAACATGAAAAACTAGAAAGGCAATCTAGAAGATCTAATCAGATCTGTTAGGCTTCTTCATTCTAGCATATCCCTTCTAGTGTGCCAACGATGAAGCATGACTGGAAGGCTGGGCTGATGAGCAGAACAGAGGGGGAAAACGAATGGAACGAAAACAGAGTCAACAAATATCTCTAACGATGGAAAACACCGGAAATTGCGAAATCGCTACATTGAGCTAACACTTACAGGAACAAGCACCAATCCTCGAGGCCTCGGGTCTGGCTAGATTCAGTATTGAGGCTTGAATGGAGGAGCATTTAACATGGTTATCCTCACGGGAGATCAGCCAACCTTGCTAATATTGATCAGATAAGATCATGATAATTAGAATAGATTAAGATAAGTGTCACCACATCAGATAACTTTGTCTCGTAATCACGCCAAGACAGTATCTCTAGAGCCGCGTTCGCATTTGCCAGACAGGCAACCAACTTTTGGGAGTTGCACAAAGTGGCCATCGAGCTGATTTTGACCTTTTCAACTGTTTAACCTTTCTTCACTTCACCCCCAACACAACAAAACCCCTTTGCCTTGAAGTTTTTTTTTTCGCACACTCACTGCGGCATATCAGGAACTCCTTTCCTTTTTTCCTCCCCTTTTATACTCCTCAATAGATGGCCAGTAGCTCTACCCGACATGCCCCCGGATTCTATCCGACACCGTCGAAAAGCACGGTTGCGCCACCAACGGTAGACACAGATACACTAGAGCTTAAGGATATGATTGCAAGCTCTCCACCGCCTGAGTTGGAGCTTAAGGATGATATTGTCAAGCTCAGTGTCAACGGTGACGAGGTCGCTGTTCGCGCATTACTCGATAGTGGGAAGGTTACTGCGGATTGGTTGGGCGAGGATGGAGTCGGGCCGTTACATGTACTTTGGCCCCTCATTTTTCCCACCCTTTTCAGCTTATCTGATCCTCCCAAACTTGTGCCATTTATCTAAGAGGCTAACTGAGATAGTGGGCAGCGATCAACAATCGGTATGCAATTTGCAAGCTCTTGTTAGAGCAAGGAGCAGCTGTGAATGCCGCTGGAGGAGAATCTAATGCCACCCCCATAATGTGGGCTGCGCAGCGTGGACACTATTACCTTGTTAACCTTCTGCTGAAACACGGCGCCGATCCTTGCATGAAAGACATTCATGGATACAATGCACTTCATTTGACTACGTTTGAGGGGAACATGTTCCTTTTGGTATTGTTATTGCATAATGGGATTCCTGTGGACATCCCGGACTCGAACCAACACACTTCGTTAATGTGGGCAGCTTACAAAGGATATTCAAATGCTGTGGATCTCTTTCTACGCTGGGGGGCAGATGTTCGTGCTGTTGATGATATGGGTTTTACTGCATTGCACTGGGCGTTGGTACGGGGAAACTTTGGTTGTGTACAGAAGCTCGTTGAGTACGGAGCCGACAGATTTGCGAAAACCAATGAGGGGAAAAGTCCGGCGACAGTAGCCGAAGAACTGAAGACACAGAGAGTTTGGTGGGATGCCTTAGAGGATTGCGGCTATGACAAGGATGGGAACCCATTATATCCTAATGGGACGATCTTGGGGGTACGGGTAGCGGACAAAACCACTGTGCTCAACAGATTCTTCTTTTGTTGGCCGACCTTAATCATATGGGTCGTGGTAATTTGTTTAACTTATCTCTCTTGGATTCCTGGCATCCTTTCGGCGATCATTTCTGGATTAGGCTTACACTGGATTGCTACCAAAGCGGGCGATTATGCGGAGGGTGATCAGAAAGTAGCAAATAACACACCCTATCTAGCAGGAATATTTGTGGGGACTATATTCTGGACTGCGGAACGATGGTTGTTTAACATTTTGCCGAGTAAATCGCCCCTCCCCCACCCTAACTGCACTGAACTCTAGCCCAACAGTCAATGGTGGGGTAAAAAGTGCTCACAGTTTGTTCAAAGATACCTTTAGTTCGGCCCCTTTCAGCAATATGTTTTTCGCAGTAACGTTTTCGTCTTGCATCTACTTTTACACTTTATGCATGGTTTACCACCCAGGCTATATACCCAAGCTTTCCAGTGTAACAGAGCAGAAAGCGGTGATAGAAGAGCTCCTGGGTCTGTGGAAATTTGATGACAACAATTTCTGCGTTGAATGCATGGTTCGTATGCCGCTACGGAGCAAGCACTGTCGCAAATGTCGCAGGTGTGTTGCCAAGCATGATCAGTAAGTCCCTTATTTTTCCCCGGATGTTTTTTTGATAACGCATCTTTAACACCAACCTAGTCATTGCCCTTGGGTCTTCAACTGTATCGGCGTCAGGAATCATAGACAGTTCTTCCTTTATGTGCTTAGTCTTGAGATAGGCATTTTTATGCTCGTCCGTCTGGCAATCATTTACTACACAGTTCTAGACCTTATCCCGAAAGCGGAGTGCAGCATCTTAGCAGAGCCATTCTGCTCAGCCGTGCTCCAGGACCCTTTCACAGCATACATATTTGTTTGGGGTGTGCTCCAAGCCTCATGGGTGACCATGCTCCTTTTAGTGCAACTAGTCCAAATAGCCCGTGCGCAGACAACCTGGGAATCTATGACCTCTGGCCGCCGCCACCGCGGCTACGACAAAAAAATTACCTCAGCCGTAGCATCCACCCTCGCTACCAGCGCAACTAGAATGGAAGGCGCCCAGCTGCTCCCTACGTCCCGGCGTCCCGAGCCCTCTGCAGAAGCCAGCGGAGGACACCACCATCCAAGCTATCGCCACCGCCGTGGCACCAACGGCACCTGTTTCTCACGGGCGAAGAAACTTCTCGGCGTAGACGTTCTCGTCCATACCGCCCAGGACGCCAGTAACCTCGCTCGCCGCCGTCGTGGTAACCCATTCTCCCGGGGAATTCTCACAAATTGCAAAGACTTCTGGTGTGATCCCGCACCCGTATTCAAAGAAAACGTTATCAATGATGGGGAAGCACTTCTTGGCGGTGCCCCGGTAGACTACTATAGGATGTATGAGACTCCCCTCCGTGTGCGTGCTGGTAGGGGTGACACTACGAGATATCAGCGGATCGCAGATGAGGAGGAGAATGTTTAGATTCCGGGCCGTTTGGTGTTTTCTTTTGCTTTAGTTCCTCTTTTCTCTTTTCTCTTTTTCCTGTTCACGCTGGCTGGTTGGGTTGGGCTCATTGAAGCGGTAAAAAGCAATATGAGGGTTTATGATATCCGATATATGTACTATTTAGCTACGCAGTATAAATAATATTTACTTGTACTGTATTCTGTCTCCTTGTTCCTCTTTATAGGTAGCTGATCATGTGATATAGCTCTGAGGAAACTCCCCGGAATGTCGCTCTATGGATGCCTGCACTCAAGAGTTTCCTATTTTTCCCTTCTTATACGAGGCCGGCCTTTGGCAAAGGTAGACTCTGTTCCCATGTGCTGGACAGCTTGCTTT